CATGTTGGATCAGAGGCAGCCCGTTTTCCTCCCAAAAGACTTCAGGGCTGTGGACTCTGTATACGCGCTGCACAGTTTCCTGATACGCTACCTTCTAGGGCTTTATGATTCTCAGGGTCAAGATCCTCAGTGTCCAAGCACGTTCTCTATTGCTTTAAAATACTGAACAACTGTTATTTATAGAGAGAGCCCTGCTTTATTTCCCATTTCTCTGCTGGGCACCATGAGGTACAAAAGCGATGAAATGGAATTTCTGACCTAAAGAGCTTATAATGTTTCTCAACATCTAGTTGAGAAAATGTGACAGCCACATGAACTAATTCCTAAATAAGGAGCTGTTCTAATAGTATGATGACAATGTGTCAAGCTATAGTATTTATAACAAATTGTGAGGTATCTATAAGTAGAGAAGAATCTATAATAAGAATTTGTTTAGTAAAGGCAGTCAAAGGAGCTAGAGGACTGCACATCCTGGGCGGTTGTATTGTTCCTGTTTATTAGATAACAATGTGCACCCATTTGTAATTGCTATTCCCAACTTATCTTATAGTTATAACCCCTTTTTAACAGATACGATTATAGCAGCCAGTTCTATATAATAAAAATATTCTGCTGGCCAACCCCCCACACTAACACTCTTTGGCTGATGGAGATCCAAGACCCCTTTTGAAGGGAAAACCTGGTATGAGAGAGGCAGTCACTAATTCCTCTCCATTTGGCAGTACGTCTACTCGACAAGAAGGTCATCCTTGCAGCAGAGGAGCGACATAAAGTATACGTTGGCATATCGGGACAGTTGTTAAATAACTCTGCACACAATTTGACTTTTTTAATGTTGCGCTGATTTGACTTGGGGCTTGTATACATCTTCTCCAAATAAAAGTTGGGACCACTGTTGGTTCATCAAGCTCCTTGGGATCCGATCAGCCTGGGGAGCGGACTGTGGGAATCTCCTTTCAGGTCTTTGAGGGCAGCAGGCCCCCTGCCATGCCAGCAAAGGCAGGGGAAGACAGTATGTGTGTCCTGCCATTCCCCTCCCAGCTGATGCCTTGTGCTAATAGAAGGAAGCAATCACCTTCCCATTGTCCAAAAGCTACTTCTCACTTGTCTTAAAAGGTTGTTATAGTTATCTTAGAATACAGAAGTGCCTAAGTAAAATCTGGAGAGTTTACAATATATGAAAGAAAAGAGTCATAAATCTACCCTGTGTCTCTGGGACAGTAGGTGTGTGTGAGACAGCCAGGGTCTTTGCATTTACATGAATACTTTCTTGCTTTGGAAGACTAGTATGTCTGTGTTTGGGTTAAGGCGCCCTCCTGCCAAGCTTCAATTAGGTGAGGCTGGTAAAGTAAATAAAAGGTAATGGATTGTGTCCATACATGACTTCATTCCATCCTTTGAATGACTTTATCAATAACTGCTAGAAAGCAAGACTCAGCAATAACTGTGTCCAGCGTATACCTCCAGCCAGCAGAGAGCCGACCTCATTTCCTAAGGCTTTTTGTGGTGTGCCCAGACTAAAACCCTGTATCCTTCACCATCAGGTGCATCCAGTGTAGTTTTTCTAAAATGATCAATGTTTTCTTTGTCTAGACTTACGCTAAGAGTTAATTCAAACTTCTTGAGCTGTGTGACACTCACCCACAGGTAGCTAGCGCCTCAGGACTCACAAGTATGATGACTCAAATGTACACGTTGTACGTTCATCTCTCACCCATGGTCCACATTTGTATTCTCTATACTCAGTTTCTCTGGCTGCCCTGTGAACCCAGATTTAAAGACTGTGTTTAACTGCATGTCAGGATGGGATACATGGCAGAGGGGTGTTCTTAATAGTTTTTTACCAAATCTACTTTGTGCCCCAGTTTTTCCAAAACAATTTCCTATTTCTAAAACTGCTACCAATTAGTGGAAATTTGGAATCTACAGTTATCCTGAAGTAGTAAGAGAAAGATTCAGAAATTATATTTGCAGAGCATTGTTCATTTAACGATTCTTCCTAAGTAGACCCCAGGCCAATGGCTCACTCTTCTTTAGTCGAATATTATGTATTTCCTGACATCTCACTGCCCCCTAGTGCAGCACGCTAGTGAGTGCATCATTCTCTGCAGACATTCTTGATTTGCATTATTACTGTCTGATCAGTCCATTTCATGCTTACCTGGCTTCTGGCAATGTGATTTGACACTAATCCATGACTCAAACCAAGTCCTTCATGGACTACTACTACTACCACTACTACTACTACTTTTGCCAAGTAGATCCTATTCCAGGAGCAGGAGTTTTGAGGGCAAGCGAGTACAGATGGGAAATGGAGTCTCAGCTGGACTCTACTCTCCAGACCCCTTCCAGTGGAGAAATCAGGCCCAGAATTTTCAGCACAGTACCATGAATTGGAGGGACAGATCTTGTGTTAAGGTGCATCCAGACCAAAGTAATAAGAACACACTGCTTGGAGAGAGACAAGCTTAGGAAATTTCCTTAAAGTCTTTGAGCCTTCGTAAAACTGTCATTGATTTAAAAAAAAAAAAAAAAGGTAACCTTAAGATGTCTTAAGGCTTTACTACATAATCTATGTTTGAAGGTTTTATACATTTTAACATGTGATACATATCTTCATCTATTATGTTTACTGTGAATGAGATAGCCATGAACTGCAATTTAAGGATTATGGAAAGGCGTTCTGACCCCAAAGACTTGCTCTCAAAACTGTTCTAAAACGATCACAAAATTGTAAGCCACGAATTTGGTCTCCATGAGGTTCTGCCGAAATGACTTTGAACAAGTTGTTGGACTTTGCTGGGCCTCTGTTTTTCCATCTATAAAGTATGAGTGCACCTATTTTAAGGGATTACTCAGGGATTCAGTGAGATAACATATGCCTGGCACATGGCAGATTTCAATAATTGTCAGTTCCTTCTTCCTCCTCCCTGATTTTCTTCTGGTCTGAAATAGTCAACACCTGCCTTTGACACCAGATACTAATGGGTAGGTGGTGGACTAGAATGTCCTCTTTTGATGTGTCCCCCCAAAGAGTGGACAGGCAGCCCTTCCTTGTCACCATTAGCTTTCAAATCTGGGCAAGGACATTTGCAGCAGAGAGGCAGGGAGGTAGAGGTGGTCAATAAAATCTTCAGTGTGGGAAAGTGTAACTGATGGGAAGTCTGGGGTTGTGCCTGGTTAGGAACCATGTGTACTTTATTATGAGAATATAAGAGATTTTCCTCTTCCGATGATTATAGTTGCAGTTTTGACTATGGGAGCAGACCAAAGAAAAGAAAGGCATCCAATGTGGGAAAGGTCATTTTGTGATAGTGGCATTTTTTTCCCAAAGGAATACATTATAAATGTCATACTTACTTTTCAGAGTCAGAATATTAAAAAAAAAAAACAAAAACACAGATGCTCAGTCTTCTTATGGTGAATCAGCAAACAAACAAAAAAGGTCTTAAACTCAATGTAACAGGGAAACACATCAAGCCACGCCGACATGCACACACACACACACACACACACACACTTTGTAGGTAAGATACACATTTTTATGCTTTCATGGGTGGTTTTTGTTTTGAATTGAAAATTGGGCAGGTTTTGTTAGGTAGTAGGTTTCCATGGAGAGAAGTAAAGAGACATTTAAGGATACTGATTATTGGATGGTAAGGAGGAATTTGCACTAAGCCCTTTTCTCCCACCTATACCCTAGTTCTGTCATCACCCTGACCATGGACTGGACAGAAAACAGAAAGAACCACAGAAAATTATGCATTTCGTTACATTTGTGTAAAATCTCTTCATATCATCTTAGACATTGTTTCGGAATCCACGGACAGGCAGTTTTACTCTATTTGAATCAGATCTTCAGAGGAACATGAGATTTTGCCCTGTCCAACCCCTTTAATGCTATAAATGGGGTGGGTAAGGGCTGGAGAGGTCACAGGGCTAGAGTGCCCTCCTTTATTATTTATTTCTCTTTCCGAATGTCTTTATCATGTTTGCTTATTCCATTTCCCCATAGGATTGTTAGTGTGCGAAAGTCATAGACCCTGGTATGCTGAGTTTGACTCTCAGCACCACACAGCGGGTAATTCACTAAACTCCATTCTTAATCTCCGGGGAACTGCTTCTTCCCAAGGGAAATTATCATTATAATAGAGAAAGGGATTACTGAATAAGAATATTGTCTTTGGTAACATTTCTTTTAAATTATTTGATGCAACATTTCGTGTCCAAGTGTAATTTTTTAGCCTATGTCCTGGGAAGGGAAAGGACTCATTTGTGAATTAGCAATGAGACTCCTGTGTTACACGAGGAGGAAAAGATAAGTCCTAGTTCTGTGCTTTAAAAAAACTTCAGGGATTACATTTTTACCCCATATAGGCCCATTTGGCAACTCATTCAATATTACCCAACATTCAGCAAGTATTGATCAAGCTCCTCCTATACCTCTAGCATGATTTAGAGTCTTAGACTGTATCAGGGAACAAAAATAAAGATTTCTGCTTTCAAGATTATATCTTAGTATATATTTGTAACATATGAATGAACTATTTCTTCCCAGTACCAAATTATTCTTGGACAGCATTCTAGTGAAAGCATGTCATTTTTTAAACACTGTCTTCCTTAAAATGAAAGGCCTAGTTTCCCAAGAAAATGGTTTTTTGGTCTGATTGCATGAAATTTGGCACAACACTGCCGCCTTGCGGCTACGTGAATCAGGAACTTACATACACTATGTGGTCAACTCATGTCTTTTAAGGTAAAGTTTAAAGGGAAAATTATCTTGTTTTAGTGGAAGGCTTTGACACAAAATTACCTACCCAGGAATATTTAGAATTTAATTCCTTCTGCTTTTTTTTAACAGAATGATTGGAAGGGCTCCGTCGCTTTCATAGTTGGAAACCGGATTGAAGATGATCTTCTCATCCGAGCCCTCACCCTTGCTGTCCAGGTCCCTCAGCGGAAATTCTTCAGTATCGTGTCCTGGCAAGACATTCTCCAGCAGGTATCTGTCCTTTCCCATCTCGAGGCCCCGTGAAGACTTTTGTGCTTAAAATAATAGGATAAAATAATAAGATAAATACACCTATCATATTCTTGGGCTGTTTGGTAAATTGGGGTGGATTATTTTAAACAAAACTTAGCTAGAATAAATTTGCATTGTTTAATCTGGAAGAATTATTTTGGCCCATTATTTAGGCCCATTTTAGGCCCTTTCAGGACTCATTCATTTAACAAAATTCCTGTGGCCATACCAGGCTCCATGCTAGGCTCTCTGAGGAATTATTTATTCAATAAAAGATTTAATAATAATAAAAGACTAAACTATTAACTAAACTTCCCTGGACTTCCAGGGAAGTCCATAGCAAGAAAAATTAAGTCTACAGAGAAACCTAGCTGTCAGAGAACAGAGAGGAGTGACCACATAGAAAAACCTGTCAGGTGGCCCGTACTCACACGATTACTAACAGCTTACCAAAGTGACTAAAAATACTTTGCCTAGTTGATGAATATCTCTTCCTTGCTAGGTTTCCCAACCTTTCAAGCCACCCAGGTATTTGAAAGTTACATATATCTAAGTGTTCCTTAAGTATGCCTCTCTTTTTCCTTATAGATGAATTTAATTTCTTACAGATCGATGAATCAAATGCATTTCTTGAAACTCCATCTAAAAAGGCAAAGAAACCTCTAGGCAGTAGTGCTCCCTTATATTATGAGGTAGGTGAACATCTTTATTGAAGAGATTTTTGTTATTTTTAGAAAATGAGAATTGAAATAATAATCTTATATTCACGTTAAAATTTTTTTTTAATTCATTCTTTGAAAGCAAATTCTTGCTTTACTCCTCATTGGAGCTGCCTGATGACAGGCACTTAAAAAATCTGCCTCTCTTCTAACAAAATCCCTCTCTAGGAATAAAATTGTCCTAGATTGTCTACACCATCACTGTATCCAATTAAAGACTATAAATCAGAAATTTTTATATACAAAAGAGTTGGGTCATACTTTCTCATGGTAATTATTGAGTGAGTGATGGTATTAAAGGGAGCTGCATGATTAGTGTATTATGAAGTGTTAGTTTCACCAAAGGAACAATGTAAAAATGCCGTAGAAAGTGTTTCCTGTACAAGACAGAGACACAGCTGTTATAATTTTCCATCAGTCAGCAAGATTTGGGCACATTTTCTATCCTACTTTAACCAAGATGAAAATAAGGACAATTTTTAGGTTAATGGTCCATTCCGTTTCTGGCAGATGCTTAACACAAGAGTCTGGCCTGGCTGACCACTGGGTTTATGCAAAGACTTAGAACTCATGCTCAGTACAGGGGGATTGCCTCTCATACTGCCTTGTTAATATCTAACTTACAGCTCACAAGAAGCTATAAAAATCCACTGATTAATTAGAATATCACTTAAAATTTGTCAGGCACTGTTTTATGGCTCTTCAGACTGAAAGCATAAAGATTTTTGGATCTTTCTAAGACAAACTTGTTTGCACTTTATTTCAGTGATCTAATAAAGTTTTTATGTGTCTCAGGTCTTGGATGATTTCTTAATGGGCTCTTTAGTATTGCCTGAGTACTATCTGAACAAGTTTCACTGGATTTATTTACGCTTGACAATAGTGTGGATTTTACAGCATTAACTCTTGCTACGCTACTCTCACTATCACGAAAAACTGATTCTGTGCTTTTGGAGTCAAATAACATACCTTCTAGCTTTTGTTGTGATGTGCTAAACGTGTGTGCTCCAGTTGAAACATTATGTGATACCTGGATTTAAAATACTGGAAGTTTTCTTCTGAAGTAGCCATAGAAATCCCTGTCCAATTCTCGGGCCTGGGACCAATTAGCCCCCCAAAGAACTCTTTCTTCTTCAAAGATGCTCAGTAAAAATCAGAGATGATAACAGGCCAGTTTTGATGTCTAATCTGGACAGACATTTTGACTTGGATGTGGGATAGCACAATGTTACAAATCCAGAGTTCAGTTAGAAAGCCATTCCTTTCCAATATGTGCTGTGACTTTGGGTTGTGAATCCTTCACTCAGGGGAGGTCCATTTCACATCTGGCTCTACCACATTCTTCCAGGGGAGCATTTGGGCAATAAGCCTCCCACACCCACTCACACACCCTTTCCTGAATGGTTCCAGAAAAAAAGGGGAAGGCAGGATGAGCACCACAGAGATTGGACCTTGGGTATACCAGACGGGCATCAACATCAATTTGCTTTGGTAAAAACAGATATAGAACATAAAACAAATTCAGGCTCCTGATCAGCATTAGCCAAGGACAGAAGGCACATTTGGAGAAGAGGGTACATTTCCAATCTCAGTCCCTTCACACTTAGGACCTGTTCGGGAACTCCGTCACTTGGTACCTCATCATCCCAGGTGAATTGGAAAGCTGCAGGCAGTGCCTACTCAGAAGCCCAAGGTGGTTGTGATTGTGAGTGGTGACCAGGAGAGAGGCCCAGACCCAAACACTTTTGGGACCCGTGAACTTCTAAGACTCATGAGCCTATCTCTGCTTGAAGTCTTGCACAGTCTAGGACACTTGCCACAGTTAAACTCCTCAGGAGCCTCTTTGCAAAGTCTTATATTTTCTTTCTCAAAGGAAACTCTGCACTGGGGAAGAAAAGGTAATCTAAGAAAGTTGTTTATGTTGCATGCGAAATTCATAGAGTTCTGTATCCTCCATTTTGGAGGGAGAACTCAAGAACCAAGAACTGTGAAGGCCATACCCTTACATTTACTTCTATTTGTAAGCTACTCTCATTGGCCTTAAATCAGAGTCTAGTCGTTCTCACTTTAAACATAGTTCTAAACAGTTTGGCGTTCTGGTTTCCTTGCCTGCAGTCAATTAGGAGCAACAAATTAAAGGGAAATGTCACCATCGTGCAGTTCATCCATGAGTAGTAAAATAGCGTCAGAACCACATTACATATTTCCAATAATGACTTGAAATGTCTGGGCTAGCAAAGACCACATTCCTGAGTGATTTGCTCAGGCTTTCACTTGGATGGCTTGGTGTTGTATACACACAGCCTCATTTTGAAATTGTGTAATTTCCCCCTGAAACATTAGAGTCCATCTAGCCATAGGATTGTATATACGAGAAAGAGTCTTTATCTATAGACCACAGTTCTTTGAAAATGTGCTTAGATTTGTGCTAATGTAATTCCACAGAGACACAGCTACAGCCCGTTTGTTCATTCACCATCTCTTTTTGGAAAAAAGAGTTGTGTTCTGCTCTAGCAGGAACTACTCTAAGGACTCATATGGGAATGGGAAGAGAATATTCTCCTTTATGCATGTTCTCAGGGATGTTAGCTATTACTTTATTATATTATTATCAGTAGTTGTAGTATATAATAATGAGGATGAAAATGATGATGATCCCATGCACTAGCCTTACATATGAACATAATTTCCAGCTTGTAATCCTATTTGAGGATGTGGACTTATATGAAAATGTATACACAGATATTGTCTGCATTATACAGTCACCAGTTTTTACCAAATAGTGGTATTTTACCAAATACCAAACAATTAACAAGTACATTCTTGTTTACCTTATAGACAATGGGGGAGATATGAATATTATAAAGACTCTATCCTCAAGAAGCTTAAGGATTAGTTGGGGGGGGAAGGAAAAAATATTTACTAACAAGGAGTAAATGGTCAAAAAAATGTTTGTTAAGGGAATGAAGGGGCTCTGGGGTGGCTCAGTTGGTTAAGTGTCTGCCTTCAGCTCAGGTCATGATCCCAGGGTCCTGAGATAGAACCCCACATCAGGCTCCCTGCTCAGTGGGGAGTTTGCTCCTCCCTCTCCCTCTGCCCCTCCTTCAACTTGTTCTCTCTCTCTCTCTCAAATAAATAAAGTCTTAAAAAAATAAAAGAAGTGAACAACATAACGCACTGAAGTCCATGAGGGGCAGATGAAATGTTATGGGCATTCAGAGGAAGATGAGTTTACCATTAGAGTGGGGTTGTGGGTAGGATCTAAAGAAGCCTTGTGGAGAAGGTGGCATTGGGAGGGAAAGGAAGGGTAGCTAATTTTGATCTTTTATATATTATTCCAGGGACGCCTGGTTGGCTTAGTCGTTTGAAAGTCTGACTCTTGATTTTGGCTCAGGTCAGGCTCTCAGGGTTGTGGGATCTGGCCCCACATCAGGCTCCATGCTGCTGAGTATGGAGACTGCTTAGGATTCTTTCCCTCCCTCTCTCTCTGCCCCTCCTCAACTCTCTCTCTCTGGTAAGTAAGTGAATAAATAATTCCAATTAACCCATATCATAATTCTAAAAGAAGATATAAATATCGCCATTTTACATATAGGGAGATGGAGGCATGAAGAAGGTAGGAAGTTTATTAATTAGAATTCTGAAGAACTTGGGTTTAGCCATAGTTAGATCCATAGACTCAAGTTGTTCTTCTTTACCTCAAACCCAGTACTTTTCCACTGGGCTCTAAGCTGTCCACCCTTGGATGAGTAGGTCTTGGCAGTCTTGACATTCAAATGTGGGAGAGGGCATTCCAAGAAAAGGGAACAGCTCAAGCAAAGGCATAGGTGTGGGAGAAGAGTGAATATGTACTAAATTTATAATTGCATGGTATAAGATATACTCAATAGGAAAGGTAAATTCTATATGTACTTTAAATTACAACTTTAAAATCCTGAAGACAGATATCTATGAGAAAATATTTCAAGCACTCAATAAAATCCATGCCTTAACATTGACATTTATTTGCTAAATACGCACAAATATTTGGCTGCGTGTGTCTGATGGCCCACAGAGAGAATCTGACTTGTTCATTTGTAGGTTTATTCAGTCCTGTCCAAAACCAAAAAGGAAAATATTAAGGATCACTCAAAGCTGATTGAAATGTTCCCCATGAGAGAGGTCTACATGTTCCATACATGCAAATGTTCTCCCACCTGTGATTAAATCTGATACGCAGTATGTGTGCCTTATTAGGAGATGTACAAATTTTGGACTTTGTGACTTTGATAAATTAGAAAGAAAAGACTACCCATTGGACAGGGGTTTGTTAATTCAACTTCTCTGAAGTCACGGTCAACTGTCCTAAAAGTTTTAGACTCCACTCTATGTTTGACTTTGCTTCATGATGGTGATCATCGTAACTTCTAACCCAGAAATAAGCAACCATCCAGACACGGGCCATGGTTTGCCCATCTGTGATTTAGTCAGAAAAGACAAATTAGGTCACCACAAAAAAACTTTTAAAAACACAAAAGTTTGCTGAAACAAAAAACATCTATAAAGAATAAACATTTGTATGCCCTAGTTGGTGACTCACTTACTTTAAAAATGGATCAATTCTATACAAACAACCTGGAAAATCTGAAAGATGATGTGATATAGTGTAGTTTTATGAATACAAATAATTATTAATTTTTCTCTTTACTCCTACCAGTAAAGAAATAACTAGTATATTTTAATTAAGATAAATGAATTTCTTTTTCATTGGGAGATCATTCTGGGAGATCATTAAATATGGAAAGATTCTTCTGATGTTGGATTTGAAAGTAATGAATCAAATGCAGTTTAAAAACATACAGGTTGCAAATTTTGTATATAAAGATCTAATTAGTTTCATCACATTCTTAAGATACTTTGCTGCTACATTGGATTAGTTTATCCCCAGATATAATCATTTCATTTTGTTGGTTCCTATTCCTATGCATGTAGATATATTCTTCGGCCCCTTCCCCACCATGTATTCATAATAACTCACAAGTAAGACCACAGACTTAATTATAATCTAGTTGCCTCCCTCGTCCACATTTCTAATATGAAACTCATTTTTTTTTCACAGTGCCTCAAATTAACAGTCTCTTCATTGGAATTGTAAGCCTTTATTTGGGGTGGGTTGAGGGGGGAGGCTTGTCAAAATGAAAAATGGAAAACTCATGCTTCAGAGATAGAAACAAATAATATGTGAAAACATTTAAGAGGTTTGAAGTTATTAAAATGGCAGATCTACTGGGACCAGAAAGCAGTATGTCATGGAAGAAACGAAGGAAAAGGGAGACAGGAAGCATTCTCTGGCCTTTTCAATCCTGCGTTTTAAAACAAAACAAAAAAATTCAGGAAGAATTGGAAAGAAGCCAACCTAATGCTGTTATTTCATAGAGCTTAGGGACACACCAGGAAATTACAGGCCAGTTAGTTTAACTTCACTTGTAGGGAAAGTATTAAAAACTGCTGCAGGAGATCAAGTAAAAGGATGCTTAGAAAAGCACAGCTTGATTAAGGCAAGCCTGGCCAACGTGGTTTTCGGAAAGGGAAGGTCATGTCTTAGGAACTTGTTGAAATTCTTTGAAGCTATTATGGCCAGTACAGTCTTCAAAGAACACAGCGAGGCCCAGGATCTGCATATCTTTTCCGTTCCACACCAGTCCTTGAGGGATGCTTGCAGAACATGGCCCACATCAGGGCCTTGGTGTTCCGGGTTTCGAAACCACTATCAAAATAGCAGAAAATAACCTCTGATGGAACATTTTTAAAGCTGGAACCAATTAATACAACCTGATATTTATAAATGTAAAATAAAGACTTGGAACAAAATTTAGGAATATTGAGCTGTAACAAAGAAGTACTACACTGGGACTATAAAAACAATCTGGGAGTTATTGTGCCAAAATCTGGGCTTTGGAGGCATTTCTCACCCAACGAAGGGAAAATAAGGAGAAATGACAGTGCTAGAAATGGTTGTAGGGTAAAGAGTTATGAAGAGTTGCAACCGAATGAATTTTGTCAATATGGGAAAAGGAGCAGTCAGACGTGTTAACAACCCTGAGCCTCTACGGTCCTGGGGAAGGCCAGAGCAGCCTGGCAGAGAAAGCTTAGTCCAGGCGAGTCAGTGAGGGGGTGGAAGGTCAGGCCTCCGTTGCTTTAGGAATGGACTCCTAGGGAGCAAATATGTTTGCCTCTCAGATCAGAAACCTGGAGTTCTGTTTTCAAAGAAAAGCATAACTCAAGCAAAGGCACTGAAGAGCATCCCAATCATGCCCCCCAGCTCTTTCCCACCCTGGGGCACAGGCAGCTGGCCAAGCCCATGCATTTCAGGAGGAGGCAAGTAGTCACTGGTGAGGAGTGGAATCAGAAGCTGAGGCCTCTGGGACTCAGTCCCAGGAAACCACACCATCCAAGTGCTGGTGATAGGGGCGCTGGTCGGACCTTCAGTCCAGGGGAGAACTGCCAGACAAGACAAGAATCTAGTCGAGAATCCCAGGACAAAGCTCTCAGTGGAGGAGTAGCCACAAGAAGGTTCAGCTCGTGAAGAACCACCATCAGTCTTGGCCAGGGTGGATCCTGGAGCTTCTCCAACATTCTACGCTCCACATCCATTATGATTGGAAGGAAGTCAGGGAAGGAATCAGGAAGACTCTACCATTCTATTTCTCTCTCTAAGACTGTGAATAATCTGCCTTTATACAGGGTAATAATAATAGGATTTATTGACGGCTTAGTTTATTGCAGGTCTTGTGTGCATGGTACTTCATATATATTAGCTAACTTAATCCTCTCAACAGCCTGCCAAGAGATACTTACAAATGACGAAAGTGGAGCCTCAGACAGGTTAAGTAACTCAATGACTCAGAAGCCTCTCTTCCTTCTGCTGGCATCACATAAAAATTGAGAGTAGATAGTTGCAATTCTGCAAGTGGTTGTTGTGGTTTAACATTTCTTGAATACAAGCTACTGCTGGTAATTAGAATTAAGCCTTAAGCCTCACAGTAGTTCTGTGATATGTTTATTGCTTTTCCTACTACTCTGGCAAAGGCAATGGTGTATCTGCACATGAGGAAGGTGCCAAACAATTTTAGTCCTATTTTTGAGCCACCTTGATGAGGGGTTTCTGCCCAAGTGTTTGGATCACCTGGAACTTTTAATTCTAACAGTTTAAGTTTATATGGTTAAGGTGACTAAGTCTTTGGGAGAGGGAAGAGGGAAGGATGGGAAATGAGAGGGCAGTTAATACATATGCGTTAGAGATGCAGGTGTGAAAAGAAAGAGACCTAAGCGAATTAGTGAGAGTGAATTTCATCTCCAGAGTGCCTTCTGCTAGCTTGGTGAGACATACCCTTAATGGTTAGATGCACTGATCCAAACCAGTCTGCCTGGGCTCCTGCTCTAATTCCACTACCTACTAGCCATCTGACTTCGGGGGGAGTTCCATAACTCTGTTTACCTGTTTTCTTTTTGTAAAGTCAGTGTTGATGGTGGTATCTGCCTCATCAAGCTGTAGTGATGATTAAATGAGATAGTAAATATAAAGCACTTAGCATGGTTCTTGTCATACAGTCAGTAAGTGTCCATTAAAGTTCAGTTATTATAGTTTATTACTATTTTTTAAATTTCTATTCTCAGTCATAGTGAGTGTTGGAGTTTTGTACTTTAGGATGCATGAAAGAACTAGAAACATCTATGAGCAGGGTATTTTATTTTTAAATTTTTATGATAGTAAAAAACACATAACATCACATTTGCCATTTTCATTATTTCCAAGTGTACAGTTTAGTAGTGCTAAATATATTTGCATTGTTGTACAACCAGTCTCCACAACTTTTCATCTCACAGAACTGAAACTTTATATCCAGTAAACAACTGCCCATTTCCCCTTCCCCTAGCCCCTGATGGCCATCACTCTACTTTTTTCTCCCTATGAATTGGACAACTCTAGATACCTCACAGAAGTAGAAGCATACAGTATTTGTCTTTCTATGTCTGGCTTATTTCACTTAATGTGATGTCTTCCAAGTCCATCCATATTGTAGGATATGTCAGAATTTCCTTCCTTTTCAAGCTGAATAACACTCCATGGTATGTATGTGTAAAATTTTATTTATCCATTCAACCACTGATGAACCCTTGGGTTGCTTCCATCTCTTGGCTATTGTGAATTATGCTGTTATGAACATTGGTATGCAAACTATGAGCAGGTTTTTCACTAAGTGGCATACAACTAATGAAAGATAAGTTAATTGCTAGGTGAGTAAGGGGAAAAAAAGGCAAACTGAGGGTCAAAGGGTATTTGGGTTATTCTATTATACTAGTGTTCATTGCCATGATGGAAACTAATATACATTTATCTTCTTTGTTATGTCACATAAGGAATAAATATGACTGAACATCCTAAGGAATAAACACAGTAGTACCATTTCTCAAGTAATAATTATAATAATAAAATCTTACATTTAGATAAAAAGAAGGATTTTGCGACCACTCTCTCGTTATATCTTCACACCTTCATGTAAGCTGAGCTGAAAAGCTGGTAGTATCTCTGTAGTGTGAATGGGAAAATGGAAACCTAAGAATCTCAAATGATTTGTTCCCTGTCAGTAGCCAGAGTTAAAATGAATGTCAGTCCTCCTGACTCATAGTCCAGGGTTCTACTCTACACCTAACAGAAAGCAAGCCTCACTCATTAAAAATTTCTTGTTTATTCTTGCATTTCCCACAAGATAATTTTAGACATTTTATAGATACAAAATTTATATTTTGTTAAACATATATTTTAATGTGCATTAAAAATAAAAATGGAATACTGACGTGCAATGTCCCCAACTTCATGGCTTAGGATCGAGCCAAATTATTTTTTTTAACTTGCTTTACAATAAGTTTAGAGAAAAATATTACCCACATAGTACAGGTGGTACACAGCTTTGGCTGAATCATCAAGGAATGCTCAATGACTAAGGTTTAGGAAATGCTTCATTTTCATGCATCCCGCAAATATTTGAGTGTTTACTATGTACCAAATCTATGGCTGAGTTTATTTTGGTGAATAAAACAGATAGAATTCCCTGCCCTCGCAGAGTTTCCATCTGAATAGGGAAGGCAGGCGTTATGCAAAAATCAAACAAGCAAACAAATGTACACATAATTATGAATTGGCATAATTGCTTTAGATCAGAGAGAATGCTTTAGACTGAGTGGAGATGAGCTGGATGACAAAAAGGAGCCAACTGAAAAGGGCAGGGGAGAATATTCAGGCAGAGGGAACAGCAGGTGCAAAGAACATGAGTCAGGAAAGGAAAGATGTGGGTTTGTTAGAGGAACAAGAGGCCACCGAGCCTGGGACACAGAAATCAAGGTAGAAAGGGGCAGAGGCCAGACCTACTAAGTGGGTCCTTGTTAGGAAAGAGTTTGCGTTTTTACTTCGTAGGAAATAGGAAGCCATAAAACCCTTTAAAGGAGGAGAATGACACAATCTGCGTTCTTTTGTTTAATGTTCTCCTGCTGCTAAGTGAAGACCAAATCAGGATAGGGCAGGAGGGGCACATGGGAGTGAGCAGACCGGTTAGGAGGCCCTAGGAGTATCCAGGGTGAGACGGAGAGTGCAGACAGATTCCAGTGTATATAAGGGGAAGCCTCAGCAGAATGGCGCCAATGCGAAATGTGAGGGGTCGGGGAGACGTCGGCATCAGAAGAGACTCCAAAGTGGCGTGAGAAACTCTTTATCTTCTGATATAGAGAATATTGGAGTCTAAATTTGAGGGAAGTTTGAAAGTACAGTTTGGGATAAGGTAACTCTGATAGGTATGAGAGACATCTAAGAGGAGATATCAAACAGGAAATCAGATATTTTTGTCTTTTTCCCTTTTCGTATCTTTGCATGCCTGGCTCAATGCTGGTGCAAAGTAAGCATGGAAGAGGTGCTTGTTGTCTAAAAGACCTCGCTTATTAGTGCAGGGCTGGTGAGAGTCCCTATAGGGGTAGCAGGGAGGAAAGCACGGCCCCCTCCAGCAAGAGTGGCTCGGCGGCACTTCTGACATACTAGCAGTTTCGGTCCCTTCCATCTTCCCTAGGTGGACTACATGTCCTACATAGCGATTTCCTAACTGTGGCTGATAACCCTGTGGTTCACAAAGACATTTAGTTGGCTGCAGCTGTGTTTGTATGTGTGTGATTTGTGATGCAAATATTTGTTTGCTATAAATACAGGTCCAAAAAAGTTTGCAAAACCACAGCCCAGAATCCTCTCGAATTTTCCTCTCTCAGTCTCTCACATAACCCTGTGCTAATGGATATAGCAGATCCCCATCCTAGCCACCTCCCCACTCAGCAGATGTTGACTGAGTTTCTGTTGTATGCTGGATAATGGGCACAAGATTGAATTGAACCCCAGGAGCTCTTAGTGGATAATTTTGTAAACAATGTATTTGTTTCCTGCTATTTCGTTTTAATACCTTGAAGCAAGTCTGATGGAAGAGTTATAGCTTAAATCCCCAGTTACAATTGAGCCTGCTCTTCATTGAGTCCTGCGGCTGACCTCACTTATTGTTCACAACTTCCAGCAGAAAGCATAATGGTCCTCCAGACAAGGTATATTGGAAAGAAGAGAGCAGGAGGGCAGGAGACACCAAAACAGTCAAAGATGCAACCAACTACACAGAAAGCCTGCTTCCTTAGAGGGAGAGAAAGTATTGCTCGAATTGAAGTATGGTAACAATTTTCATGCTTCTACATGTTTTTAATACGACTTTTATTTCTGAAATTCTAACTCTTTCCTCCATCTTTGGCTGCAAGGAAAGGAAAGAAGAAATGCCAACTCGAGGTGAAAGAGTTGACTATTAGAAATGCATTCTTATTTATTGAAAAGCTACTGTGCGTATTAAATACTCAATGAATATTAATTTGAATGAATGAATTCCAGGTAGATATTTTTATATTAAAAATGCATCAATTCTTCTATTTCACAAACATGATTGACCAAAAACAACCCTCAAACCTTGTTAAGGAGCACTATAATGTAAGCTAGCTAAAATATGACTACTACATTGCTTCGAGAAATATATAAAATGCATGTAATTACAAATTTAGTATGTTGAAACGTAAAAAACCAATCTTACAAAAATTCTTACCGAGAAAAGGTGAAATTGTTCAACAAACCCCTGCCTTTAAAATTTCATATTTCAACTTCATACTTATTTGCATCATAATGTGCATAACCATTTGAAATCTACAGAACTCTGATGGAGAGCAAGGCCAACGGAATGCCCAACATGGTGTCCTGTACTACCCCAGACACCCCCAAACTAAGTTTATCGTTATCCTAATCAGCCTTTATCAAGAATTTATGTGGAAAAGACAGATTCACTCTGGCCTCACTCATTCATCACGAAATCTTTCATTAGATTATCCTATTAGAAGGAATAGCTAATTATTTTAGTTATTTGAAGTCTTACGATGTTATCCTTTTATTTATCTCTGGAGCTACAGAGAAGCAGAGCAGAGTCTAATAACACATGGCATGTGACCACTGCGGGGTCCTACACC